TAGTCTTTGATTGAACAGTGCATGTCTTGGCTTGTAGTTGCTATATTCATTGATTGAATAGTAAATTGATTATGTACAGTGACCTTCCTCCGGGTTTCCCATTTTGTCCATGGATGAACAGGGGAAGGTCACAAATCCTCCTCTATAAATATGATGATATTGGATAGAGGAGGGGATCCATTCTTTCTCTCACTAAAAACTAGTACACTCTTGAAACAGAGTAAGAAATATATTTCGGACTGAGGAGATTTACCCGGTCTAGGTCATACTTTGTGTTCTTGTTGTGTGTTTTATATTACGGGTCGAGTGTCCAGGTCAAACCCGGTTAACCCACCCAGCTATATTTACACCATCAATATAAATCTAATAAGGTAGTGTTTGGCAACTATGATTTCATTTCAATTCATGTATTTCAATTCCAAAATTTGAAATCTTGAATTTCAAATGACAAAGGGAGGTGCATGGATTTAAAATTAAACTTTGTTATGAATGAAAATAATTTGATTCAAATCCAAATTCAAAAATTGTAAGTTTCCCAAACATGGAATTTAAGCCAAATCCGGATTTGAAATCCAAATCCATGTTGTCAAACATACCATAAAGTCATTTTTATATCAAAATACATTACGGTTTTTATTTAATTGAACCTCAAAATTTATCCAGGTTGACTCGAAAAAGCCAAACTGGACAAATAGACTGGGACGGATGGAGTACATTCTAAAATCAATTTTTGATATTTCTTTTTGGTGGGGGGGGGGGTGGGGGGGGAGAGAACTTCCAAACGGGATGAGCAGGATTCAGGAATCCTTGGGACTGGACTATGAATTACGGAGTATGAATTAATTCATTTATGAATTATGAAACAAATTGACATGTTCACGCTTCTTGATCAGTCCTCGTAGAAGTTTTTATCCCAGTCTCAGTGCAACTTAGGTGAAAGGATGTGCCCCTAGTGTTCATCCAGATTTACACACATTTTTTAGCAGATTAACAAACAAGAAGCTCAAAAACGATTGATACAGAAAACATTTTAACGGGAAATTCATTTCAGATGTTATTTTACTTCAGCAGGAGATAAAGAAGCACACAAGATCCATCTCGATTTCAAGCATTAAACGATCTTTCATCATATGTACATACATACACACATGAGAATAGATACATTACGGAGTACTTTACAATTGGGTTTCTGCATGCTCCACGTACAGTTCAGGAATTGATCCATTTGCCCGCCCGGATCCGAATTGTCCAGCTCGTACTCGTCTAACCCGGCTTCCGCGTCGAGGCCGCTCGGATCGGTCCGGAAAACTCGCCATCTCTCCGGCGCCGCCGTCACACCTGTCCCCAACAGCTCATGTACATGACTTGCCTGAGCGAGTCGTCGACCTGCACGGTCCGATCCCCTCTGCCGGCAAGACCGCCGAGATCGGAGCCGGAGAGCGGCCGCAGATCGGCCGCGGGGGAAGAGGAGAAGCATTTTTTGCCGTGGCTGAGGGATCTGAGGCCGGGCTTCAGTCTCTGCGCCTGATCGGAGTGGTTGTTGGCTAAGGCCACGCTCGCCGCCGCCCAAACTCGGTTCAAGTAACTCATCCCGGCGCCGTTCTTCGGATGAATGAAAGGAGAATTTCAGGAATTGTTTGGATAATCGGATTCGATGAATTGGATTGGGCGATGGGTTCCCTCTAATTATAGAAGGCGGAGGGATTAGAAAACCGGGGACAGGAAACCAGGTGGTTTTGGGAGGGGGTGGAGGGGGAGGGGTATTGGACAAACGAGGGTCAGCCACGTGGCGTGCTTATCCGGATGGGGAACCCATGAGTCATCATGAGCTAGCTATCCACGCCAAGATGGGCCCCACTCCCCACTCTTCCTTGGGTTCATGATGTATTTTCTGCCCGTGGATTATCGTCGTTTAGCCCACATCCCCACATGCGGGCAAAAGAGTCAGTCTACTGCATTAATTATTGATACTCGATGTAATTATGCTAGTTTAACAAGTAATTAATGAGAAAATCCAGTTATAGATACAGTAAATGGGAGTAAGAGTTTATATTTTTATTCCTAAAATTGGTGTTGCAATGCAAATATAATACCGATCATAATGCCAAAATGTATCGTTAAATATCCATATACAATGTCCTATTATCACAATGCAAACAATTATGTTGCGGATAAAAATATGGAGACTTTATTTTAAAAAAATTTCTATGTTTTACTTCTATTTAGAGTGATTTTTTTTTCTCGTTCAACCATGATAGATATGCCCCAAAAGTCGTAGTCTAAATATCCACACTTACATCTTGATAACTCTTACATTTAGGTACACATTTTTTTCAATAGACACTAAAAATGAAAGATTATTCAATAGACACTAAAAGTGTGTTAATTTTTACTTGGTCAGGGTTTAATTTACTTTATCCTCTTTTTTGAGTGGAAAATTACATTACATTTTAGCCGAATCAAAACAAAATCTAGAGGGATCGAGTGCCAGTTTAGTTTGTTGGCTTGTACATAAGCGATTGAAGCTAACCAATGAGAAATCATATTAGAATTGTGAGGACCAAAATGAAATGAACAATAACACGTGAAAAGTCACATCAAAGTCTGGCACTTAGAAGTGACGATATTAATGTAGGATGGGAGAACAAATATCAAAGGAATTCTTTTCAAAGTTGAAATCAAAATTTTCAAATGAAAGCACACTCAAGGTCTTCTCCCTTCAAACAATCGCTTTAAAATCCTTCTTTTTTTGTTAAAAAATATGTAATCCATATACAAAATGGACAAAATCATAGTACAATGTTGTCTGTATCAACGAATCAACCAACGATACACACGCATGGATAATACAACAACAATAACAACGAACCCAGTAGAATCCCAGACAAGGTAGGGTCTGAGGAGAGTGAGTGTAGTATGCAGACCTTACCCCTACTTGGAAGTAGAGAAAGTGTTTCCAAGAGGCTCTCAACTCAAATACACAAGTAGAGACAAACAAACCAATGTTAGACGCCTCCAATCCTCTTCGGGTCCCACATATGCTCCTCGCAAACTCGATGCTAGAGTAGCGAAGTCCAGCTGCATTTGTTTAGGCAGAGCTCAGCTCCTCAGCCTGCTGTCGTGCTAGATATCTTTCCCTACGTTCTTTCTGCGTAGTAAACATTGACTAGTTTATAACTATTTCATAGTTTGGGGCTCTCTTGTAATTACTCTTACATTGTTCTCTATATACGAAGCATATTACAACTCTACTCGTATTACTCAATAGTCTACGCAATTCATATTCTCTCATTGCACAACAAAATGGGGCACAAATCAGAGCTGCTGCATTGACTTAGGGGCAAAAAAGACATACCCATTCATCTATTATCAGACCTTCACCCAAAAAATTGGGACGGTTGTCTTCCGAGGAGGGCTTTTTGCGTGCTTCAAGCTCAGCCTCGGCCTCAGCCAGTTGACGATTAAGTTTCTCCAATGCCTTGAGAGATTCAGGGTAATTGTGAGAAAAAGGGCAACATATATAGAACCAAGAATAAAAGGTATAAATGGAACGATTAGAAATACAAATATTTTCCACCCCATTAAATAGGAAAGGAAACCAACTCACAGGGCAAGGGTTCTCTGCATCAAGAAAGACTACTCTTAGTATCTGTTCCACTGACACTTCATCCTTTAGGTCATCAAACTATGTAAAAAGGTTTGGTTAATGTTAGATTTGAAATACTTCATCTGTCGGTTCTGTCCCAAAATAAACATCACACTTTTCTTTTCCGTTTGTCCCAAAATAAACTTTACACTTTCCTTATTTCCTTTTAAGGAAATGAATGCGTGGCTCAAATCATTTCTATTTCTTCTAAGCATATTCTAATGATAAACTTTTCAATTTTCAACACTTCTTAACCTCCGTGAAGTCAAACCATAAAGTTTGTTTTGGGACATAGGGAGTATATACGACGGCGAGTTTGGAAGGTCGAATGTAATTACGAGTATAGCAGGATCGAAAGGGAAATCAATTTGCAAGAACAGATTGAATATAAAATGATAATCGACAAAAATATTGAAAAACATAATACAAGGGGAAAAAACACTTACGTCAAATTGTCAATGGATTAGAGAGCTAGTTCATATAGTTCTAATAAACATTAGAATGCATAAAAAGAAAACTATTTACCAGCTCCGGAACATATTCCATATCCCCCTTAACTTTTAGGCTCATTATCTTGAACTTGACTCCACTCTTCATACCAACTGGTTTCTCATCATTCTCGGGAGGCTCCACAAATTTGAAAACTGTAGATAACCAACCACAAAAAGTCATGAAACATAGCACAAAAGTATCGGCTAAGTAAAAAAACGGCACAATACAGTGAGAAAAGGGTAGGAAAAGATATTATTACCTGTGGCAATGATACTTTCTCCCGGGGCAAGTATACAACCCGGTGGACGCATGTAACAACTTTTCGGTGCAGTTGTTTGGAACTATAAATGAAACGAAAGATATAATAAGGGCTTATACAATGACAATGACAATGATAAGTATTTTCATATACATACACTTAATGGAGTAGAAGTAACAAATCAATTCTTTTATTGCAGAACAATGAAAATGGGAAAATGAAAATTTTGGATCATATAGTGTTAGCCTCATATAGTATTATCCCGGACTCCCGGATCTACACCAATACTTGATATGGTTGGATAAACTTGCTAAGTTAACCAAACTGGTACCACTAATTAACTATTCTATCATACAAAGCAAAAAACAGGTACTAATCAACCAAACCCAATCACCAAAAAGGATTGCCACAAATGGGAATATACTATCAAAGTATATATCAACTATTAAAGTAAATCAACTATTAGAATCAAAGCATCATTTCTCACCCAAATTATGGAACCCCCTTTTTTTCTATATTGTCAAAAAGGGAAGCAAACTGCATTCTTGTCCATACCTTAAAGGCAACATGAGTCCTGCTAACATTCTTGATTCTGATCGCACTCTTGACTTGTTTCCCAGGTTCATCTGCAAAAAAGAAAAAGTTAAAAAGAGGGCAAATTTGATACAGATCAGCAAGTCAATCAAGAAACCTCTGACAATCTCAAAAACCCAACATCATCCGAAACAAGATTGTTGAAGAAGCGAGACAGATCAGGGTCATGAACCCAAGGGAAAATCTGGAATCTTACAGGGGAAATAGAGCTTGTTGGAGGGATCAAGGCTGAGCCGGCGACGAGTGGGGAGGAGAGACTTGATGTTGATAGAAGTGGGCTTAGCGGAGGAGGCGCTGTGAAGGTTACTGGGCTGATGGTAGCCTGCAAATCCATTGTCGTGTTGAAGTCTGTAAGAAGAAGTAGATGAAGAGGAAGAAGAGAGATTGGTCGAATTCCAGAAAGGGAGTTTGCATATACTCCAGCTCTTTGTTTCAGACACCATTTTCTCGCTTGAAATTTCCATTTTTTTTCTCTTGTGGACCTTCAAGTGTGTGTTCGGACTTGGAGGTCTTTTGTATAAGACTTTAAGCCAAGTCTCCCTCTCATAAGTCATAAAAGAGTCATAAAATGGAGGGACACTCCGGATGAGAGGCTCATTTTCTTTACAAAAGAATCATAAAATCATGAGTCTTGACATAGGTTAGGTGGTTGAGAGGACTAGTGACACAAGATTTAGAAAAAAATGATCGTGTTATGCATGATATTCCTGCGCGTGTGAGAGTATCAGAGACAAATTATAATACAATTCAATTTCTTCAGCTTATTATTTAGGTCGATATTAGAGGATTCACTACAGCACATTGAAGAGTTTGATTTTTACTTTAAGTGATTATAATTTTACTCTGAGGGTATTTGGGAATGATTAACTTATGGATAAAGTGATTTCTATAAAAGCTGAAAGCAAAAACACCTAATACCTGCTTCTCTGAAACAGTGTTCTATGTACAAAATAGTGGTGGTAAAAAGCAGAAGTTGACATGCCAAATAGAGTAAAATCACTTCCACTCAAAGCATAAGCTAACATATTAAAAGCAGCGCACTACCAAACACCCTCTCTGTTTGGGATGTCAACTTCTGTTTTTCACTATTATTATACGGAGTATTATGTATAGAACAATGGTTTAGAGATGTAGATATAAAATGTTTTTGCTTTCAGCTTTTGTGTTTATCTAAAGTATATTTAAAAATCAATTAGTTCCCACTTAGGCCTTGTTTTTTGGGTTGGAAAAACTAAATTCCAACTTTATCCAACTTCTTTCAATTTTTTCTAATAACGACTTAAAAAAGTATTTATATAGAATAAATATACAATAAAATTATATATCATGATGGAATAATAGTATTGCTCAAGTAATACGTAAAGGTCTAATACAATATATTATATATATAGAGACAATAGACCATTGGGCTAGACTAGTATACGAAGGCCCAGTACTACATATATGAAATATATACTCTATCTAACATCCCCTCTCAAGCTGAGTCGAGCAGCAGCTAGAGGAAGCTTGGAAACGAGAAAGTGAAAACGCTGTGATGTGAGGGGCTTGGTAAGAAAATCAGCAAGCTGATGTTCTGAAGGAACGTACTCAGCAACCATAGAGTCATCAATAACTTGCTCACGAACAAAGTGACAATCAGTGCCTACATGCTTCATCTTCTTGTGGAAAACTGGATTCTTTGTGAGACATATTGCAGATTGATTATCACAGAAAAGAACAGGTGGTGGTGTGGTGACATGTAAGTCCGTTAGAATATATGTGAGCCACATAACCTCTGTACTCAGCTTCTGTAGAAGATTTGGACACCCTCGTTTGTTTTTCTGTGCTCCAAGAAACAAGATTATTACCAAGATAGATAAGATAGCCCGTCGTCGAGCAACTATCCACTGGGTCATTAGCCCAATCAGAGTCTGAGTAGCCACGAAGGTGCATATCCCCCCTGCAAAAAACAAGACCATGGGTGATAGTCCCTTTAACATAACGGAGAATACGCTTGTAACGCCCCGAAAATAGGCCTATCAGAATTAATTAATTGATAATTAATTAATTACTGAGAAGGACCCAAAAATAAGTAAATTCTAAAGTTTGTCAATAATTTATAAAAATTATATCGTTGTGTAGAGTTTGACTGTCTGATCCCAATGGTTCAATCGGATTTCAATTTGGAGAAAGTTGGACAAAAAAATGTACCCCAACTGGAACCAAAATTAGTCCCAATCAGGGACTACACTCCAATCGGCGCTGCTGTACTCAAACGGTGCACTAGCCGCTCAAAGATTCACCACTATTCCTTCAATGTCTTCTTCTTCTTCCTTCCTCTATTTAAGCAATCTCAAATTCCCTCAATTCTCCACCAAATCATCCCAAATTTCTTCCTAATCTGTTGCCCTGAGTGAGGAGAGTTTGCTGGTGCTTCCATTCCAGAGAGAGATCGCCGGAGTTGAGAGCTTTGTTCGCCGGAAGTTTCACCGGAAAACCTTCAAAACCTCCATTTCACTTTGAGGTAAGCCCGTAGATATATCTAATGACTAGAATGTTCATATAGGTTGTTTTTACGTTCATAAATGGTCATTTGGTTGAGTTTTGTGTTTGACATGCTTGAAGAACTAAGAATCACAAACCATGATTTTGAAGTTAAAACTACAAATTAATGGAACTAAAATGATCTATGAACCTTGGAGAACCTTTTTGTATACTTTAATTGAAGTTTGGGAACTTAAAATGACATTTCCGTAAGTTGGTTCGAGGTAGAAGACGATGAACAATCGATTATCAACTTGAAAATCGATTATTCATTGTTCTGCAGATTTTTGGAATAAAGCTGAGCAATAATCGACTGTCAGAATGTGATAATCGATTATCAGCCCTCTCTGAAGTTTGATAATCGATTATCAGAGTGTGATAATCGATTATCAGACCATTCTGAACATCGAACAGTAGACTATCAGAAGTGACAGTAGACTGTCTCCCTACACTATTCAAGAAAATGAAGCCAATAGCCAACAAACGAGTTTCCTATCATATATTAATCAATTATTGTTTAGAAAACATGATTTTTAAA